GAAGCTGGCCTCCAGGGCCGAAACGCCGCAGCTGTTCGCGATCTCGAAACTGCACTTTCATCTTCATTTTCGGAGAAGAGAAAATAAACAGCTGATTCAGAGAAGAGACCAAGGGCTCCATCCTGATGCTGGAAACCTGGCCGTGGGCACAGAGGGAAGGCTCCTAGGAGGCAGGTTCAGGGTTTTCAGGCATTGACTCAGCTCATTATTTTCTGTAAAACTTCAAATCTCAGCTCTAAGGTAGGACACAAGCTCACCGCAAATTCCAAGCAGCCTCAAGACCATCAAAGCTCAGGAGACCCACCCTTAAAGGAGGAAGCAGACACTACGTATGTGCACAGATTCCTTGGGGTAACGGCAACCCCACTGCTGAGGAAGATGAAAGTCTTTGAATGAAGAGTATTTCCCCCTCAGACAGAGAAACAAACACATCAAGCACTAACTGCCTTAGTGAAAATCCTTTGTTGAAGACGCAAACAACTGAGATAAGAAATAAGAATAAACTGCCCAAGGCTTTGAAGTTTTAAAAACAAATGCTTTGAAGTTTTAAAAATGCTCACTTATCAAAACAGAAATAATTAGCTTTATGAGTAAACAACATGCAACCAAGCCATCCAGAGAGAGAAACACAAGGAGTAATAGCAATCTTAGAAGAAAAAGAACACAAAAGTAAGTTTAGTACGATATTGTGTGTAAGAAAACATTCTGTGGGGTTCCTAGGTAGTCAGAGAAGGCTTCCTGGAAGAGGCAAATTGAGGCCACCTTTGCAATACACAGATTCTCCTTTTGCCTTTTAGTATAAAAAACAATAACCTTCTATTCCTGTAGATAGTATCTAAAAAGCCAGCTGGCCTATTAAACACATTTTTCCCTCTGCCATGAATCTAACTGCACATGAATATATTTTACGTGACTTCTTGCCTATAACTAAGTTGTTTCATTAGAAAAATCCAAGTTGTTTCATGCAATATGTCCGCTTAAAACATTCACTCTGATATTGAATTATTATTGGGATCATATTTTGAGCAGGAAAACACAACTCCAATGAACTTTGAGAGGAGAAAAACTATGATCATGATTTTCATTTATAATTCAAGCCAGTGAGAAAATCTGACTTGACTAACAGAAAACTGCCCTCAGACTTTTGTCATTCTTCCCCCTGTAAGGGACAGCTGACTCCACAGTCATAATGTGACCTGAGCTATGAAGAGCCAAGGGATGGACCACACTACTAAGAAGGAAGAGTTGATGCAACTGCCATTTAGTTTTACAGACTCTTCCAAACACTTCTTCAAACCCTCTCAGATTTGAATTTCACAACATTCTGGTAGGTCGGGTAGAGTCAGATACTGTTAATCCTGTTTTGTAGAGAAGGGAAGATGTGGCCGGAACAGGGAGACAGCCAGCCCAAGAGCACACAGCAAGCCAACGGCAGAACCACGTACCACACAGTTGACCCCTGAACACACTTCATCCAAACTCCATCCAGACCTGCAGCCCATCCCGGCCCTGCCCAAGTCGATCCTCCTTGCCCTGCTCTATCATGTGATTTGACTCTTTGTTTTTGAAGTTCGTTGTTAATATAAGCTCCACAGAGCAAGGATCTCTGGGGGTTTTTTTGTTTTTGTTTTTTTCCTACCGATATATCCCAGATGCTCAGACAGTGCTATCCAACAGAATTTTTTCGTAATGACAGAACTGTTTGGTATCTGTGCTATATAGAAGCCACTGGCTAGAAGAATAAAACTGAAAAGTGGCTAGTGCCCCCAAAGAACTGAATTTTTAATTTCATCTAATTTTATTACTTAAGTAGTCACATGTGGTGGCTAAGGGTTACCACGCTGGATAGCACGGCCTCAAACAAACCCTAGCACAAATAAATATTTGTTAAAGGGATGAATTTATAAGTAAGTGAATAAGACACAGCTTCCATATTAGCCTACAGACTACTTTCACTAATTGTAAATTAAATTTGATCTTTTTTCAATGGAATTAATGGCTGCAAAAAGTCGAGATTAAGAAAACAGTTTGAAAACACAGATGGTACGGCCCAAGTAGCTGGTACAGATTCCTCAAACTATTGCTCCTTGTTGCCATTTGTGACTCCAAACCTTCCAAAACCTTTTTTTTTTTTTTGAAAACAGAGAGAAAGCAAACCAGCAGCAAAGACGAAATCCCCACATATGACAAAAAATATGTACAATCACAATGATTACTATAGTTAGTCAATACCTTTTTGACCTTGTTTTTTTTCTCATAGGTGTCTGACAGAGGCTTTTTCTTCTGCTGAGTCGTGTCTTTGGAGAATAAATACTCAAATTCACTAGTATCCCGAATGTCAGGTTCTTCTAAGGAATCCCATAAGGTTGGTGCAGAATTTTGGCTTAAAACAGAAAATGGCAAGTTAAGAACCAAAACAAAAGAGAACAGAAGACAGTCAGATCCTTAACTCATTTTTTAATTCTTTTAAAAACCCTAATAAAGCTTAAAGAAAAGCTTTCTGTGATTACACATTTTTTAAAAATCAAAATATACTATAAAGTATCAAGGCAAACACAAGTTTCCCAAACAGAATGGTCATGAGATGCAATCAAAGAGCGAGCTAGAGAAAACTCGTGCACCACAACTCCTGGCATTCAGATCGCGGAGGTATGTAAGCTGCCTCCCCTACTCCCACCTTGGGGCATTTCCATGATGGGCAAAAATGGGCAGATAACCAGTTTTGAGACATTCATGGGATAACTCTTCAGTGGAATACAAATGGAGTGCTAGGGTGCAGATTTACCCTCTTTGGGATTTTTTTCTATTAGCTTTCAATACAGTTTTTCAGTTTAGCTCAGGTCAACTCAGTGCAGGATCTGTACATGTGAACAGACTGTCCTCATTTAGAAATACCTGATTTACAATGCACCACCTCAACAGCAGTACTAATAAAAACAACCCAAACCCCCCACTGCACCTGCCCCCCAGAGATTCCAGCTAATGCAGCCACGGGGAGACTGTGCTCTGTTTGTCTGATTGGTTTTTTTCTTTCTCTCAAAACAGGGGCACCCCAGTTTTGAAACAAAGAGAGGGAAGAAGATATGGGAAATCAGGCTCAGAAGAATGACCTCAGAGAGCCGACTTCCACGGGTCACTGGCCAGGCTCCTTTCAGTCAGAACATATCTTCTCCCAAGTGTCTACTTTCTTAACTTACTTTCTCATCTTTTTTTAAAACACTTTTAATGCCCACGGACATTTTTTTAAAGGTCTCATCTACACATTTATTGCTTTTCAAACATATATGTTATGACCCATAATATCTACTGATACTCATCTTTGTCTCAATATGTATCTTCCCAGTCAGTGAAAATGAACAGAACTATTATTACCTGGGGTGGCCCACAAAGTTTGTGGATACTAAAAGACAAGTTTCATATTTGAAACAGCTGGCTACACTGGCTTTTCAGATCCGTGTGTTCACATTTTGCTAAGTGTCTGCCTCTTCTGTGAAATATGACATTTGGGTTCTGGCCCGTAAGAAAATCTGAACATTCACTTCTCTCCCCTTTCTGTGGTTTTTTTTTTAATATTACAATTTTTCTAATAGAATACTTGAGGCATTTAAGAATGTATATGTGACATCTGTAAGTTATGATGTATAACAGTATACTGAATGCCTGTGACATCATCACCCAAGAACTAGAACATTTCCAACGAAGCGCATCCATCTAGGTGCTCCTTCCTCAGCCAACCACCCACCCCGCCCCTGGCGTCTGCCTCACTTAACTTCAATTTGAAGCACGAACACCATTAATTTTAAGTCCTTTTCTCAGCTGCACTCGGAAAGAGGAATCTCGATGGGAGAGGAGAGCCAAGGAATTTTGGAGGGGGTAGCCTTGGGGCTGCTGATCGAGACTTCATGGAGATTCTGGGAAGCTGCGGAGAGGGTGCGTAGAGGGAGGTGATGGGACGCTCCAGGCAGATTATTCAGCTCCAGCCCCCCAAATTCCTGCACCTGTACCGTTTGGCCCCAGCTCCACGGATGCTGAGCTCAGGCCAGGATGACTATGACTATAACTCACTCATATTCTGAAGTCAATTGGCTTTGGCAGTCAGGTTGAGCACCTCATCACCATTTACAAAGTTTCTATGGGAAAAGTCATTTCCAATAATGAATACAAGAATTTTGGAACACCACCTTTCAGTGGGCTGGGGGAAACTGGGCTGACGGGGCGGTAACAAGGACTCGCTCACAATGGACCATCTGTCATCATGGTCAATTCTTTTCTGACCACTGAACACATGATTCTAACTCAAAAGAAGAGGAAGAGGAAGGCAGAAGAGGGAGGAGGTGGGAGGAAGAAGTGGGGAGGGGGCAGATGGCAGGTGGTGAGCAGGGAGGGGGGGGGGAGAATACACTTTCTCACCAGGGAGACACTTATTAGGAAGCCGAAAAGGGAGATAAATGAGGGTTTCTTTTTCTTTAAACTAATGTCTCTCCCCTATTCTAGAAGCCAGGAAACAGACATCAAAGAAAGCAAAATGACAAAGGTTAAAAATCACGCTAGCAGTGAAGAGCAATCTAAGAGGATGAGAGGCAATGTATACGTAATAGAGAAAGGTCATATTTTATTCCTAGTTCCCCAGAAGATCAAGACCAAAATTTATTATGTGTTCATTACCTAAAGTGCTTACTCCTCTGATTGTACAAAACAGCACCTCCTTTTAAAGAATACACCCCAAATAACTTTACTTTTGTCCATAATGAATAGTACACAGAATCTTCAGATGACTTTAGTTTAAAAGATGTAGCCATGCTCTGAGGTACAGAAGCTTTTTGAGTGACCCATAATAAGAGAGATTAAACCGCCATGCCCTGAACTCTGGCTAGAGGCTGATATGTTCTCCAAGCAGGGCTCTCCTGATGTCCCAGGTCAGAAAACTTGTGACATTCACCTACTTTTTTTCAAATTAAAGAATAGTCAGTTACAATGTGTCACTTTCTGGTGTACAGTACAATGTCCCAGTCATGAATATACATACATCTATTCGTTTTCATATTCTTTTTCATTAAAAGTTATTACAAGATATTGACTATAGTTCCCTGTGCTATGCAGAAGTAATCTTTTTTTTTTTTTAATCTGCTCTAGACAGAATCCCTGATGGCAGCAGAACTCCAAACTCCATGTGGCGTTCTCCCTCTGCACCTGCCGGTGTCCGCATTACCCCTTCTTATAAGAACACCAGTCACTTTGGATTAGGGGCCAGCACAACTCCAGGATGACCTCATCTTAACCTAACTAATCACATCTGCAATAGCTCTATTTCCAAATAAGGTCACCGTCTCAAACACTGGGTGGGGGCTAAGTCATCAGCAAATCAAGCCGGGGGGAGGCAATTCACCCCATAACAAAACTGAAGCCCTAGATTTACAGTGTAACTAATAAGAGGTTGAGTGTTCCGCTGTTTTCTTCCTTGAAATGGCCAACTACGTGAGGAGAGAAAAACAATGACTATCTCCAGCTTGTCACGGACGCCTCCAACAGCAGGTAAAGGGCCCACGTCTCCCAGCGGTCCACTCCACCGCTATGGTCTAGGATGTCGCTGGCTCATAGGTCTTGCAGGAGTGAGGCTGAGGCAGGCTAGTGGGACCGGGTGCGGCACAGCTCCGTGTGCTGTCAGAACACATGATGCCAGGGCTGACGCGTGGGCTCTGCCACCCTGGAGTGGATGCACACTAATCTGAGGACACTAATAAAGGAATGCAGCTCCAAATCAATGTTGTGGGAAATTATTTCTTAGGAAGTGCCATCTGAGCCTTGAATGGGAAAAGGGGAATACTAGTACTTTAATTAAAAGTAGGAGCTATCTCAGGATCATCTCCTTTTTTAACCATTCGCTTTGGGAAATTACACAGAATTTTAACATTTAAAAAGTATCATCATTTTCCACTAATAAACTCTTGGCTCTTGTTTTTTGGTGAGAGGAAAGGGGCCAAATATGAACTATGTAATCATCTTAGCTCACCATATGCTTAGTGTTAAGGTGCTTCCCACCCCTCCCAGAGGGATTTCCAGTTGCTTTCTCCCTGTGAACTGCATGTTATTTTGTTCAATATCCAGCCTTCCCCAAGGAAAATTTTATATAAATAGAAAAATTCACTGCCACATCTTGGTTTGGGGGATAAGTTCAAAAATTTAAGCTAAAAAATCTATCCTATATTTGCCGTTCTTTGCAAACAAATGAATTTCAAAACTAGAGTGCAGTCACGAAGCAACTCAACATCGTTCTCACGGTCCTCCTGATTGGCTCCGAAGTGAGGCAGAAGAAATCGGACCAAATCTGCCTGAATGGAAGTTTCCAAGCAACCATCTCTTGCTGCCTTACAGACCCTGCTTAACAACCTACACAAGTGGAAGATGCTCTTCAGCTAGCCACACACTGGTGCTTTCTCTGGAGGGCAACAAGGTATAAAGATGGGAGGGCGCTCAGCAGTGAGGGGAACCAGACTTGAAGCAGAGAGTTGATATTTTGAGACTTTCCTCTGACCTCAAGAGCTAATGACTCAGCTATGTCTGGTTCTCTTATTAAAAAAAGAAGAAAAATTACACCTACGTGTTGAATATACACATCACAGGGTTGATGATACCATCTAAAGACAAGACAGATATTCTAAAAATCTTCAGGGAACCAACAGTACAGACCCAGGCTCAATGTCTTTACGATTACTGACTGACTCAGAAGGCCCTAACTTAGACCTGGGCTCCTTTTTAGTCTGTGAAATGGACTACCTACCTTTGAGAAGGGTCTGACACAGAACACATCGTTTCTCCCAGCATCAATCCATAGAGAGCACAGAGAAGACCTGGTGGAGACATTCTCTCCCAAGCACTGCAGCCTTGTTTACCCAAGGCACTCACTGTACCACACCTGGGAATGAGTGCCACACGACGAAGACACTGAACCGGTAAGAATACAGCATCATTTGGGCAAAACCTGCAGATTCACAGGCTGAGAATGGGCCAGGGGAGATAAGCTTACCTCTTGTCACTTATTTGTATCCGAGTCCAGTACAGAGGCTTCATGGGACAACTGGGTTCAATGGCCGGCTTCCGAGGACACTGGCTAGAAGAAAGGCTGACTCCGGAGAAGAGGCCAGGAGGAGGTGGGGAGCAGGAGGAGGCCCCCCGCTGCTGGGCAGGGTGGTGGAGTCAGGAAGCGGAGGGGCGGAGGGGGTGGGGGCGGTCCAGCACTTGGAGGCAGAGGAGGTGGTGGAGGTGGTGGTGGCCCAGCACTCATAGGTGGTGGTGGAGGTGCCAGGGGCAAAGGGCAAAGTCCAGGTGGGAGGGGAGGAGGGAGAGGGATGGTAGGCGGCAAGGGCGGCGCAGGAGGGGCAGGTGTTGCCTTCTGCTGACTCGATGAGATGACTTCCGCAGCCTGAAGTGGTCCGTGGGTGTCTCTGTTGTCATTTGGGGGAGAGAGTTGGCTTAAAGAGGGGATATTCAGCTTTTTGGGTATTATCTGGTTACTTCTGGCTGTCTTGCCTTCACCCTCAGAGGGTTTGAGGAAGGTCTCTCTGTCTGTCTGGATGCACACATTTCTGTAGCTCTTTGGAGGGCAGTCATCGTCCGTGGAGATACACTCATCTCTCATCTCTTCACATCCTCCTCGCCATCGGTGTTCTATCTCGTATTTGAGATTTTCAATGGTTTCTTCTAGTCTCGCTGTGGTCACTGCATGCTCACCCCGAATATGAAAGGCTTGAAGCTCAAATTGAGCCTGTAGAGAGATCAGTTGGAAAGAAAATTTAAAAATTTGTGAAAAACAATGATCAGAAATAAAATATTCAATAGCACCCCCATAGCACAAGCCCACATAAACTCAGGGAAAGACAGAGACATTCTTCTGGGAGTCCAACAGGGTATAAACTTCACCTTATGAATTTTCTGAGGACCTAAATGATCGGAGTAGAAGCATTAACTGCATCTGACCTGAGCTCACAGGCAACAATTACCATGGATTAAGGCTAAAAGGGAAACTGTCATTTAAGAACTTTCACAGGTTTTAATATCAAACGCAAAATAAAACTTTTAAGAAAGATTTGAACAGGCTTTAATATATCTTTTATTACTTTTGGTTTTGGTTTGGAAAAAGAACAAAAGAGGCTTGGAGACCCTTTTGGCTTGGAGCCGCTGTTCTCACAGTCTTGCACAGAATGTCTCCTCTCTGGGGTTTCCAGGCCAACACAGCAGAAAGTAAAGTGCGAGAAGCTATACATACATAGTTTTTTGTTTTTTTAAGTTTCCATATCAAAGTTGCCCATGCTCAGTATTTGTGTCTGTTTTATAATCATTCATAATAGTAAAGAAACTATTTAAATGCATAGAAAATGGGACTATTAAGATCTGCTATTTTTCTCTTCTACATACTCAATATATTAAACTGCATTTTATAAGATACCAGCCTTTTTAATACTTACCTTTTTAGTTATTTCAATGCCTTGAGTCTACGGTTTTCACTTAGCACAAACTGGCATCCTCTCGGTCTTTAACTGGTCTATCTTCCAGCATTCAAAGCCATTTAGCCTATTACAGTTAACTGGGAGGTAGTCAAATTTCCAATTTTATCAGCATTTCCAAAATCCAATTTAGCAGTAACAAAATATCTTGGTGAACTTATTTAATTTCTGCCTTCCCCAGCAGATTATAAACTCTAAAAGAAGAAGTCAGGGATGGTACCCGCCTTTATTTCTGTATCCCAGCAGCTAGAACATACAGTACATTGTACTGACAAGAAGGATGGATAAAAACCACAGCGATAGTTAATATCCAGTCACTGCCCTAAGAGCCTTCCTGGTGACACTTTCTTCACTGTAACTGCAGTTACAAATATCTAGAACACTGAAGAGTACAGAAGTACAGATCTGTGTTGTGTTATTTAAAAAGTAAATACCTTCAGTGGCCTAGTCAGTCAAGGTCATGACATGGGAAGATTCTCCACCTTCATTAAGAAAACTTTTAACTACATTTTTACTAGGTTCAACTCTTGCTTCAGAAACCAACCCTCAATAATGGTGGTCAGAAGTACTAGAGACAGGGTTTTTTTTTAAGCTGATCTTATATGTGGACATGGCAGCCCTGATCCAAGCTTTCTTTGCCTTCCTTTCCTCATAACTCAGTTGCTTCAATTGCTTTCGTGTTAACTAAATCCTCTTCCCACCTGCAATCTAGTAATCTATATCCATCTCCTTCGAAGCAAGATGCAAACTCACACACTTTAAAAGAGCAATCCCAAGTAAGCCATCCTGTTCCAAACACCCTTTTCCTTGACTGATGGTTTTTCATCTGTTTAATGTGGTGGTTCTCAACCTGCTCCCCATTAGAAACACCCAGAGAGCTCTGTCAAAAATACTGATGGGCAGGGCCATCTTGAAAGATAATCATTCAGTTGGTCTGAGCTGGTATCCTTAAAGCTCCCCAAGCGATTCCAATGGGGAGCCAGAGTTGAAACCAACAGTAACTGTTGTTAATCTTTATTCTGCTCCAAATACAGCTGAGATAGTAAGGCACTGCAATATTGTTTTTTTGCTTGTTTGTTTTTGTTTTTGTTTTTTAGGCAATGACTTTTAACTTGGGTCATTCCAGAATCTCCAAAGGAACATGTGTTATTTGAAAAGGCCCCTTGCTAATCCTGCTATCTCCCCATCAGAGGAATACCCCTTCATTACCATATTGAGAATAGTTACTCCATGCAGCAGATAAGCCTAAATTCTTTTATACTCAGGACTCTTCAAAACCTGCCCTCTGCTTTCTTTCCCAGATACTTCTCTATACTTTCCCTATGTTGCACCAGTACAGATTCAAACATATCATTAACTCCCACCTCTTTACACTTTTGCACATGCTGCTTCCTCTGTCTAAAACACCCTTCCCCTCCATTTTCACCTCGTGAAAGACCCGAAGGAAAATTCACTCCAGCACAACTGAACCTTTTGGCTTGAACTTTTCTTGATTCTTCTTGACAAAAGTTTTCCTTTGATTCTTCTTGACAAAAGTTTCCCTTTGACTTTGTTGCCAAAAAACTTTCTAGGTTCACATTGCATTACAGTCATTTATGTTTATCTTCTTTGCAAATCGAAAAGCTCCAGGCAGTTGGGGACCAGGCCTTACTCATGTTTGAACTTCCAGAACACTGCACACTGCTTGGCTGGTTAGTGACCCATAAATGCTTATTGAATTGAATTATTTCTTTTGATTTAAATATTAAGACTTCCTTATGCCTCTGTAGTACCCACCCGACTAGACTTGAAGCTCCAAGAAAATTTACAAAGAGACAGACATGTGGTCCCCTTCCTCTTTCATAGTCCCCGGCACAGCATATACCATGAGATTTCATAGTTGGTACTACCTAGAAAATTTAGATAAGACATCTAGATTATTTTTTCAACTGTGGATATTTCTAAAAGTTAATGCTGATCCTATTTAATTTTAACAATTCAAAATATTTAATGTAGATAAGTGTTCTCTCCACACTAAGCTTCAAGGCTGTTCCCATAAGTATAATAAACTACACAGTAGAATTGAACCATATTTGTGATTCTAATCTGATTAGGAATTGGGCTCGAGTCAAGTCCTGCAGCTTCCTCAGGGGCTGGTCCTCCCTTCCCCTATCAAATCCTCATTATTTTTTAATATCCTCCCCATTACCACTGCTCAGAGATACCATCGAAGGAACACACTGTCCTGAAACCCAAGCAACAGAGGGAGGGTTTGCTTGTCTGATCCCCACAAATCTGTCTGTCAAAAGAAGGTGCAAAAGTGCCTGCTGTTGAAAGACATCATGGTGGTGCCAAGCACCGTGGAAAAATGTCCCATTAGCATTTGGTGGCTGTGAACATTCTCTCCCAGGGTGCTGCCAAGGCCAGTAAAAATTCAGGTTATCCACTGTACAACTTGAGTAAGTCAGCCTCTTCCAGGGACGCTTCCAAATTCTAAATCCTTAGGTTGGGAAAAGCAAGACAGTTCCCGGGACTGCACAGAAACACAATCACACTCCATCACTGCAGCAAAGGGCAGTGTGAGCAGAGTGGAAGAAGGAAAAGGGACTCGAGAGCATGAAGCATCTCAGAGGCATGGGATCTGATCCTTAGAGATGCTGAAGTGAGGCCAGGGGACGGTGCATCTATGACTTTGAATGTGCGCATCCTGGTTTTTCTGTTTTGTTTATGAAGGTTGTACAAAGACTTCAATAACTTCCTACATAAATGACTTACACTTGCTACAGTAAAAACAGAAGTCTCCATTAATGAAAAGGATGGCACTGGGTTTGGTTAAAAAAAAATCCCCTAAGTTAACAATATCTGGTTTTAATGAACTATTATCAATATCTTTTAATTCTTATCAGAAATAAATGGACACTATGAACTCATCTACCCAACACACACTTGCAGACATAGTAAACAATCTTATGGTTACCAGGGGAAAGGGGGTGGGAAGGGATAAAGTTGGGAGTTTGAGATTTGCAAATGTTAGCCACTATATATAAAAATAGATTTTTAAACGTTTCTTCTGTATAGCACAAGGAACTATATTCAATATCTTGTAATAAATGAAAAAGAATATGAAAATGAATATATGTGTATATATGCATGACTGAGACATTGTGCTGTACACCAGAATTTGACACATTATAACTGAACTTCAATAAAATAAATAAATAAATAAATTTTAAATTAAAAAAAAAAAGAAGAAAGAAATCACATTTTGTTACATCTGTGAGGCCATCTCAGGGACACCAGGAAATATGCGGCACAAATGATACATCAGTGCAACTGGAACTTGCTAGGAGGGTTAAAAGCAACAAAGAAACAGGGCAGGAGAAGAAGGGACAAAGAGCAGTCAAAATATAAACAGCACCTAAGCTGATGCAGGAGTAAAACCCAATTTATGCCATGCTATAGAGTACAGAATACATTACACACGTGCAAAGATGGTGCTGTCTCCAGTAGTCATCTGCCACACAGATATGCAGTCAAGATAGTGGGAAAAACGAAACCAACATGGAGCTCATGTGCAGGCACAGCGTTCAGTGCCTTCATTTATTTATTCCTTGCAACTCTGTAAGGCAGGTGTTCTGGAGGATGTGTTAACTTGCATAATGCCCTAGAGCTGGAAAATGGTGACAAAGGAATTCGAATCCTGGTTGATGTTAACACGCCCTTTGAATTGATATCCATTGATAGTGGCTAAATAGCAGTAATTCATACTCATAACAATTACTGACTAGCAACATCATCTACTATGTATGGCTCACAATTTGTATTATATTAATGCCCATGATTATGGAGACAACCTATGAAAATTCTGGTACTGCAACTGCTTCTAAGATAAAGAGAGGCACAAAGAGACTAATTGCCAGAAGGAAAGACTCAAATTCAGACCTTTTCACTCTAACCTAGAGTTCTTCTCACCTTATCATGGATCCTCAGTAATTAATAGTCCTTCCCATTTTAATATGCTTTACGAAGTCAGAATGCCAACACAAAAATAGAGACACTTTCTAATGAATGATGCTTTTCAAAAACTATTTGCCTTCCATCCTTCTGGAGTAGAGCTGGAGTCACTGAGTAAGTAATAGATCTGAAGTTGTCTGGTTCATGGGCAAAGTGAGGGAAGGTGGGGGGAAGCCCTGGCCAAGGGTCAAAAGATCTAGACCGTGCTGCTGGTTATTCCAGTTGTTAGCCACTCCACACTTAGCCAAATATATTACTTACTGTAACC